TTGCTCTATCGAATAATGTTTTGCAACCTATTTAGAAATGAGAAGTGTATGACTTATTGCGGTTGGAATTCAAAACTTGCATTAATTTCCGGACAACCTGATACCTCAAGGTCATGCTGTTTTCTCCCTGTGATAATGGTAACTTAAGCTCCTTCCTTAGCGAATAATACAGTGTTGCGGCTCCAATTCCAGACGAAGAACCTAAGATATAACAAATATAATAATAGTTCACAGTTTTGTCAAATTAATGTTACCTGTAATGATTGCTACTTTTCCGTGGAAACGTGCCATCTTACGAACTTTACGAAGTAATCAAGACAGTGTCCTAAGCAGCAAAGCAAATGGAGATAAAAATAGTCCGTGGCTGTGATTTGTGGCCAGAACGTTAGTGCTTGAAACTTGGCCACAAATTCATTTTGCGAACCGCCAAAATACTCTAAATAAGGAGAAGCTGTCCATAATAGAATGTGACCTGGGTGGTGCAAAATATTCAGTACAAGTGTTCATAACAAACTATACGGCAACACACTACTATAAAAAAGTGGACAAGCAGCGCTGCACTGCTGTCACACAATTCTTGGAAAAATTTGAGTCTTTGGTTACTCCCTTTATCGTTGATGACACGCTACAACAGTCAACAATTCTTCTAAATAAGTAACACGCTACACTGTCTTAAAAGCTCAATAACAGCATAGAGCGAATCGTCCATCTTTCTACTTTACTGCAGGATTACAGTAGAAACTTGAAAAAGGTATATAGTCGTGTAACCTTAAAAAATTAATTCCATCGCATGGGATGAAACATAGATCTTGCACCTGGGATTGAACATAGATCTTGCACCAAATTGGGCCATAATTGTAATATGCTAAGAAGAAGAAACGCGAGCTCAAACGAACACACAAGCGCGACATTGCCAGTCAGTCTAAAAAAAAGTTTCTGTTAAACAATGAAAACATTATACGGAGAGGGAGAGGTCTTAGGGTTATATATATAAATGGAGGATGCTGCTTACTAAAGTCACACAGAAGAGTGTAGGCTAAAAATTGTAGAAAAGTCGCAATGTCGATGACGGTAAAACAGCTTAAACCATGTAACTTTTGATTCAACTGGTTTGGCGGCTGGAAGGCGGGGCTTTGTGACGTAATTAAGGCCGCTCGCGCCCGCGACGCAGTCTGCGTCTTTCTCGCAAAAAGTGCTCTTTGATCATCCTCTAGCCTCAACTAGGTCACGAAACCCCGCCTTCCGGCCGCCAATCCAGTTGAATCAAAGGATATGTACAGGGTGTCCCAAAAAAATGTATCCACTGTTTAATTGTTAATAACTCCCTCATTATGAGGTCTTTCGAGAAGCGGTAAGCGCCATTTTGTAGAGCTGGCTTCAACTTAGATTCACAGTATAAAGCAATCACCAACCGCTCTTCATTACTGTAGGATTACGGTAGAAACTTGAAACATGTGTGTCAATGTGGAAAAAGCTGTCGTCTCAAAATTTTTCAAATAAATGTACTTGTGTAAAGGGTTTTTAGGGACGCTGAATTCAATACTCAACTATTCTCAAGACTACGAAGCTTTCTAAACGGTGTAACCGCACTTTTTAGAAACATTGAGAAAATGGCTGCTACTGCTTACCTCGCATAACTCTTCAGTGAAGCATCATAATAAGTTGGGAACTCTACAGTTAGAATCAGCAACTCTAACTGGCCTAGTTTAAAAGTTTTTAAACTGTTTTGATCCCTTTCTGAGGCAGAATATGGCCTTTCATGGCCCAAAACCCTTTTTCAAGTTTCTACCGTAATCCTGCAGTAAAGGAGAAAGATGGACGATTCGCTCTATACTGTAAATCTAAGTTGAAGCCAGCTTTACAAAATGGCTCTTACCGCTTCTTAAAAGACCTCATAATAAGAGATTTATTAACAATCAAGGAGTGGATACATTTTTTGAACACCCTGTATAATGATGTACTTCGTTTATTTGTAGCACAGTGGTCTTCTTCACTATTTATTGTTTACGCTGCTTTCTATTGAGCTTTTAAGACAGTGTAGCGTGTTACGATTTAGAAGAATTGTTGACTGTTATAGCGTGTCATCAACGATAAAGGGAGAAAGGAATCATAGAGAACAAGAGAACAAAGCAAAGACCCGAATTTTTTCAAGAATTGTGTGACAGCAGTGCAGCGCTGCTTGTCCACTTTTTATAGTAGTGTGTTACCGTTTATTAGGTTGTCCCATAAGTCTTTTGATTTTTGAGTTTGCGCTGTGACAAGTCGTGCACTTCTCATTCTGAGTAGGTTCCAGAATACCACTCGATAGGGCAAAGCCTCTATAAGATGACGTCTATGCTTCTGCATTAGCTTCGATCCACCTCAAGTTTAAAACAAAATCTAAAAATTTTCGGATGCCCAAAAAGTTGAAAATTTTTTATATCTTCGCTCAAAAAAGCCCTACAGATCTCTCACTCGCTCACGCATGTACTCTTTACATCAGACACTCATATGTGCTGTTGCTGCATTTTTTGATTGGCTAGAAATCAAGAAAACGAAAAATTCCATGTTTTTAACAAAGTGATGCTGTGCTCTTCTTATACTAACAGTTGTATACTACAAGCCTTTGGAAGTACAACCGTAAATTTTTAGCTTTTTATGAGCCCTAGTTACCGATAAATGCTAGGTTAAGCGTAAAAAGCCTAAATGAGGAAAGCTAAATTCGATATTTCTCAGGAACTAGAGCTCATAGAGAGCTGAAACTTTAGGGTTGTACCTCTAAGGGCTTGTAGTATACAACTATTAGTGTAAGAAGAGCACAGCATCACTTTGGTAAAAACATGGAATATTTCGTTTTCTTGATTTCTAGCCAATCAAAAAATACAGCAACAGCACATATGAGTGTCCGATGTGAGGTCTATGTGCGTAAGCGAGTGGGAGATCTGTAGGGCTTTTTTGAGCGACGATATAAAAATTTTCAATTTTTTGGGCATCCGAAACTTTTTAGATTTTGTTTTGAACTTGAGGTGGATCGAAGCTGGTGCATAAGCATAGACGTCATCTTATAGAGCTTACTTTGCTCTATCGAATGGTGTCCTGGTGCCTATTCAGAATGAGAAATGCACGACTTGTCACAGCGCAAAATTAAAAATCAAAAGACTTATGGGACAACCTAATAGTATGTTATGAACACTTGAACTGATTATTTTGCACCACCCAATTTACATTCTATTATGGGCAGCTTCTCCTTATCTAGAGTATTTTGCATAGCGGTTCGCAAGATGAATTTGAAGCCATGTTTCAAGCACCAGCGGTCTGGCCACAAATCACAGCCACGGACTATTTTTATCTCCATTTGCTTTGCTGCTTAGGACACTGTCTTGATAACTTCGTAGAGTTCGTAAGATGCCACGTTTCCACGGAAAAGTAGCAATCATTACAGGTAACATGAATTTGACAAAACTGTGAACTATTATTACCCTATTTTCCGGATTATAAGCCGCACCTTATATAAGCCGCATCCGCCGCAACGAACAATGGCGCGAAAGCGCCTTTGAAAAAAGCTACATAGCAAATTGAAAACTCGGTGCGTTCTAGTACAGATAGTCATGTCTTCTCTTTTTTTCTTGTTCATATGACTTTGAGAATGTTTAAGTTGTGTTTTCTTTCCTAAATGATACTACTGGTTGACTGTGCTTTCCTCAATGATGTTAGTGGTGCTGAAGTTGTGCTTTCTTTTATTTTGATTTACTGGTTTGAAGCTTATCACCTTTCGATTCCATGTTACTACTGGTATTCGAACATTCTTTTATTGTTCAGCGGATTCTTGAGGAATAAATGAGAAGGTAGAGAATTTTGTTACGAACAAATACACTTGCGAAGAAACCAAATAAAGAACGAAAGCAGAAAGCCCATATTAGATTAAGAGGCAAAATAGGTAGTAGTTGCTGCTTGTGCGGCTTCGCGCTTCGCGAACAACATCGCATTTCAGCCCGCGCGCGGTGAAAAGAAATGCGGCTTATACTCCGGAAAATAGGGTATTTTTTATAAGGTTCTTCGTCTGGAATTGGAGCCGCAACAGCTGTATTAATCGCTAAAGAAGGAGCTAAAGTTACGAGCACAGGGAGAAAACAGCATGCGTTGAAGTAGTAAGGAAATGTGAGTAAAATCAGCACAAATTTTTGGAAAAACTTATAAGTAAATTCGCTACAAGGAAGTGGAAATCTTAGAACACAACGGGTTTCCCTTTTTCTGTTTATAAGAAAGAAAACTGTCATATATTAGGTCGCTTTAAAAGTATTTCGCTTTTTTAAAATAAACCACACTTCGTGGAACAAAGCTTTCTAAGAGGTGGCATTCGATACAGCATTCCATCTTCTTTCCAAGAATTATAAATTGATCGAGAATGGCATTTTCCTCCCTCCTCCAAGTCAGAAAAAAACTTGTTGAAAGCTCTAATCTAAAACTAAAGCAAAAATCGATAGTATAGGAGGAGAGCCTTTGTAATCAAAATCTCATGTTACTGAAGGCCACAAAAAACGTTAAGAAATTAATGAAAAAATGCTTAACGCAGTTATTACACAACTCGATAGAATTGATCGGTTATATGCTTATTGTTACTTTTCATGCTCAGTTTGATAAGGGTGAGTAAAATCGACTGATTTCCATTGCTTAATTGTTGGATAAATGCGTATACATTTGTTTTTTATTTGAATCAGCTAAAACCGGTGGAACTTCAAGGCCCCGGACAGACTTTACGCGACTTAATCGTCGCGATCTAATCGCCAAGATTTCCATTCATTTTCATTTTACATTCAAAAATTTCGGGCTGAAAAAGTATCACGACTGAATGCAAGTTGATCGGCATGGAATGATGTTGTAACTGTTGTCTCGTCGCGATTCAGTCACGACGATCAAATCGCGTGAAGTCTGCCCGGTGCCTAAGGCTCATTAAAGGCACGATAAACTTATTGAATCTCTTGGACTACATTCCTCAACTTGAATAGTGGTCTATTTTGCAGGCTACTAAGAAAGCCATACTTGAAGCTGGCGCTCATAGCGAAGACGTGAATGTTTTGCAGGCGGATGTCACCGATGCTCATGGAAGGAAACATATCATCTCAAGCACAATCCAGGTTTTTGGTTTGGACATCTTGATGAGCCAAACGGTTCGCTTCAGTCTAATCAATATGTGATTGGACCAAAACCCGGTGGTTCCGAATTTTTATACGCGAAATGTTCAATCAATTATTAGCATTTACGCGCGAAGTATGACAAGAAGAAATCGCTGTATTATCGAATAAAGGGTAAATTCAGGTAAATAATGCCCGTGGCACACTTCTTAGCCCTGATGGTTCAGCTGGACTAAAGGCTAGCACCGATCTCCTCAAGAAGACATGGATGTGAATGTATTCAGGTAAATTGAATCGGAAAAATGAACTTTTATCGACAAATCTTGCACAAAATGATGGTGTATCTGATGAAGTCGCAGCAAAGGTAATGCATTAACCGTAACCTCTGTTGACCCAAAGTATATCTTTTTTAGTTCTACGCATCTTATGCCAGAAATCCCTTCGAAGTGCCTAGCGGCAGAATTGCTGTTCCATCAGAAATCGCAACGGTTATCGCTTTTCTGGCTGACGAAAGCCAGTCATCTTACATTGTCGGCCAAACAATCGTCGCCGATGGTGGTAACTCAATTTTTCAGCTTCAAATGCTGATGTGCCTGTGAAAAAGACAACACAGTTCTGAAAATGAATAAAAAATCTCGTAAACTACACATATGCACAAAAATAGACGTTTCAAATATGTACATGAAGACTCTCCCTTTTCTATATAAAAATTACGTAAAGTCCTCCATTTTCATTTGTTTCAGTCAAAATATGCTTTTATTTTCTAGCATAATATGTTAGTCGCTGTCCTTTAGAAGTGGAAATCACTAAAAATTGCAGCTAGACCAGCAAACATAGTACAGTACGTGGATATATCGCTCAGTGATATGAATGTCCATCAACGGCATCAATCAGTGGCACAAAAATGTTTTCACAATTATAGATTACCCTTCGGCATCCTAATGGAATTGCGACAGACAAGACTGCATACGGCGGCCTAGCTTTTTGAGCGAATCATTAGCAACAAGTCGCAAGGGCGATAATATCTACAAAATGTCAATGTTCACTCATCCGTTGAAATTATTCTCCGTCTATGAGATGGTTGATGAGAAAGTTCAGTTAAAAAACAGCGCTTTTAAAACAGCAATGAATTGTTATAATACGATCTATGTCGCACTTTTATATACGATGAAGAATGTGTTTTGAAGCCCATGCTTCCTTCCAAAGGTTGAAAATTCGTGCCGTAAAGTAAGACCACAGTTTGAATGATTCTTTTGTGGTACTCATTTTCTTGTTTTGAGGTTTTTTGATGCTATTGATTTGGCAATATCTGTCAAAGTTAGTTAAAGCATCGTCGTTCCGTTCAGTGTCTTTCACCAACTTTCGAAGGTAGCGCACTCTTCACTTCAAAAGATCTCAAACCGTCCACCTTCCTTTGAAAAAAGATAGGAGGACAATAATCGCCATGACCCTTGGGTTAGAATCAAACAATAAAAACTCCATGACAAGAGAGCTATTATTAATCTAACAGTAGGCACGTCTTTTGGGAAACTCATCGGTAGCTTTGAAAAAGTAAAAGCTCTGCGCAGAAGGGTAAATGCGAGTGTGAATTAGTTACCGAATTTGTTATGGCTTGTTGCACAGAAGACAACCACCATGAGCTACATTTCTGTAATTTCCTCAGTTTCTTGGGTAGAAACTTGCACGAATTTTACAGCAGAAAATAAACTTTTAATCATTTTTTGAACTAAAGTATGCAGCTTGCAGGTTTACTTATCGAACAAACCCATGACTTTGCAAACGTTAAAAGTCAAATTAGAAAATCGAAAAACATAACTTTGAAGGGAAATCCGATAGCAGTTCTCCACATTTAGCAACGGTGGATCACAAAAAATCAAAAATAAAAGCACTTTTCGTTATTAGGCCTTTCAGCGCTTCTGGCAATGAATTGAAAAGACTAGGCATAGAGTTTCGACAGCTTGCATCACCGAAATTTGTGAATGGTGATTTTTGCTACAAACCGCTAGAAAGTTGATGATTTGTTTTCTTCTAGAAAATCAAAAAACAAGAATCTAATGAGAATGGAATAACTCATGTAAAGATTAGTGCAAAAGTCATGAGACAGAATACTATTTTTACTCCACAATACCTAAGGGTGTTTAATATAACTTGTAACTAAAAAGTAAAAGCAAATAATTGCTCAAATTTCTGTAAACAGCTTTCTCTCTTTCAGCACAGTTTGAAATAAATTGTTATTGTTTCAAATCAATCGACTATAGGTTTAGCTTGCAGGACGAATTGATCAAGCTAAATGTGAAGCCGATGTGAGATTTGCGAAGCGGAAATAAGATCTCTTTCCACCACATCACTACTTTGATGGCAAAATTAGTTACTTTTGATTAACCGTAAGAAAATCTTGTCGATGGCGAATTCCAAAGGCTGGTCAACGACTAGCTGTTGTCAACATCGTCATTCGTTGGATTATAATGTTCCACATTTCTTACCTTTCTTTCAAAATGGCAAAATTGCACCTTACTTGTTAAAGAGGCAAGATTACAGACTACTTTGTTTTCAGCTGGGATGAACAATCGCCGCTTTCAATCTTCCTATTGCTGCTGGCTATAGTCTCTATTACAACATTGTAAGTGCTTTTGGATGATTCTATGGATTTAAGAAATAACCATGTCTGTTGAGAGGCGGATATCAGCGCGACTTTATCAAACATGGACTTCTCATACATACACAAAGCTCTTGAAGCTTCATTGCCCAGGGTAGCTGCAAAATATCTTTCCCGGCAAGAACTCAAGCTGTTGGAGGTGAGAAGAGGTGAATTCAAAATTCCGGATGAAACATCCTTTCTAGCTCGCTTATTGGAACTGGACCGAAGAGAGAGCACAAAATTTCAGCTTGCCTCTCAGCTTACTCCTTCTTAAGGGATCGCGAAATAGAGTAGTCTTTCATATCTGAAAACTCTTCACTAAAGTTTACTCCATAGTAATCTGCAGTAAATCTTTCAAGTTCAATGCAGAGCTACCTGTGTCATATTGCCACCTAGATGCAACTATTGTGGTCGACTGATGCTTCACCTTCAATCTATATTTATTGAGAGCTTGAAACAGCAACTTTTTAACTTTCAGACATGGATTTTTGTGCATACAAAAGTCCTAATTGATTATGTTCTATTAGAAAAGAAAAATTTGCATTTGTTTTCCTCTGTAAGATGCTTGCTTCTTGTGCAGGGTGGCCGGTAAGTATGGGCGTTACAACATGTAATATATCTTTTTTTTTCTGAAATATTCTATCACGGCGACTAGTATGCCTATAGCTTGTGGAGAGTCTCTATATTATGGTAAGTGAAAATTACGCGATCTAAAGTCTTCTGATGCAAACGGGACTCCTGAGTCTACTTTCTCTTGAGAGGCGCTGCGGCGGTTCAGTTAACACCGTATTTATAGTGTCGTATCTTATTTTGGAGAGATGACTGCGTTATTCCTCGGACTGTGCTCTACAAAACCTCAAATCTTAGAACCTATTCGATTGATAATCGGGTTATTTCAACGATTACAATGGGTATATTCTTCAAGTAGCATTTTTACGCATCAACTTCAAGGTAAGCTGCTGGAGTCTGTAGGCATTTGCAGAAATCCAGTTTTGTAGGAGTAACACACTAAAATGTCTGTGTTTTTGGCATGCAAATATAATCTTACAGAATTTTGTTTGCTATGAAAAATATCAAACGAAAAATGTGACGCGCATACTTTTCAGCCATCCTGCAGTGAATCTATCCACATCCTTCCAAAGCTACAGATTCTGTAAATGCATTCTTTTGACCATGTTTGGTCCATCGTAACTCGCATCAAACAAACACCATCAACAGCAAACGTGTGGATAACAGACTCAACTAAATAGATCTTCGGATATTCAATAACAAGCAAAAGCTTGAAATGCACAGTATGGAGATAATAATTAGCTTCTGCTATCAGCACACTACTGACAAAGTTCAAATTGTATTGTAGAAAAACCTCATTAAACTGACCAAATTCTCTTTTTTTCGATAGTAAATTTCAATTCTCAAAAAAGCACTACCATCATTCCGGTTTTCAGAAACTTGAAAAAAAAACTGTGTTTCCCCCGATAAGCGGTAACTCAAAGAAGTCGCTGAAAAAAATACATGCAAATTTTTTGATCAAGCGTCTATTACTTTGTGTGGTTTGTATCTCACTTGAATTTTCGCTTTGCTTTGAACTCTAGTCACTTGAGCATCTCACTTTACCCTTCACTTTGCTTTGAACTCTAGCAATTTGAGGTTAATAAGGAAAAAACTGCGTCAGAACATAGTTCTATCGTTGCACACAAAATTCAATCAAATGTCCACATGAAAGCTACATGAAATCACTTATGAGTAATCTGGGAATACCTCACAGCAAAGTGCCTCAGAAACGTCTACGACGTCCTCTTCGTATCAAATTGAGATCTAGATGGCTGCATAATTGTTACAGGAGTGGGCAAGAACCTGATTCTTCGATTTTTTATAATAGTCATGTAAGCGTTCCGAACTCTTGCTTGAAATAAAAGCATAACCACAGAATTCGTCATAGAGTTTGGCGTAGATAAAACCATTGGATTAGATCATAAACTGAAAGTGTCCCAAAAATGTGCCTACAGTTTGCCTGTTAATAGCCCTTTTGTTAAGAAGTCTTTCAAAAACCTTTGGGTACTTTTTGTAGAGCTATCAGCAACTTAGGTATAGAGCGAAATCACAGTTCTGTCAATCGTACTGTAAGATTACGGTAGGAACTTAAAAAAGGTTTTGAGTCGTTGAAGGCCATATTTAAGCTATGACAAGGATTTGAATGAGCTGAAAACTCTCACACCAGGCTGATCAGAGTCGCTGATTCCAAGAATGAAATCATCACTTCAGCCTATTGCTTCTTCAGTTATGCCAGAATCTACCGTAGTGAATATAGTCACTACGGTAGATTGCTTTCTCACGCTCCTCAAAAATTTCTTTATACTATTTGAAAAGCTTGTAAAGCTGATAAAACGTAGTGTAGTGAAATCAGTATGTGTGAGTATGTTGTTGCATACTTTTTTAGATTCTTTATTGTAATTTTTTTCGTCAATTTGACAGTTTCGATATGCTGAAAGTTCCTATCTCAATCTGAAAGTAGGAATGAGCGATCGGGGATTCGCTCTATACTGCTAAGTTGCAAGCAGTTTTAGAAATGGCACCCAAAGCTTCTAGAAACACTTCAAGACAAAGGAGTTAAACTAACATCAGATGCGTTTTTTGGGACATCCTTACATTAATTTTACGGAAAATCTCAAGGGTTTTCTTGGCACAAGCTGGCCCAACGCAATTTTCTGGCATAGAAACTCGCGAAATCCAAATATTTTGAGCTCCATTCTTGGTGGCTAGCTCATGGGAAGTTATGCTTGATATTGCCTGTAGATAAGGATTCCTTTAGGCAACGAAGTTCATTGGTCAGATGTTAGAGTGCAGTGTGAAAGTGAGTTTTCTCAAATCATAGCGTAGCAATTGTTTAGGAGTATCAAAGTGGTTTTATATTTCAGCACTAATAAACGATGATAGACTGCTACAAAAGCTTGCTGCAGAAAAATTCGACATTGCAATTTCGGAAGCATGCCCGTCCTGTAGATTTGGTAAGATATTTTTATGTTAAATATAAGTTACGCAAAATCTATTCTAAAAATTGATATTTGTTTCTTAGGTCTATTCGATTTGTTGATTATGGCCCGTAGTAAACCCCCCATCCGGGCATCTCTCTCGACGCGGACCGGAGTTGAGGCCACTGGAGCTGGTCTGGTCAAACGGATAAGCTATTGGAATCACACGCGCGCGGTCATGGTTCGACACTGGCTAGCGCCACAACTTTTGCTGCATCGCCGGACAATCTTTGATAGCGGCCACTGTCGAAAAAAATCGATGATGACCGCTAACAAGGATATCACTTAGCAAATGGACAGATAAAACAAAACTGACATATTTTGACGGAGAATTCATGAAAAACTGAAATTTTTGGAACATAAATAAAACGTAATAAATAAGTAGATTCTCTTCTAAAATAGTTTTTACAAGAAACTAAGATTGCTCTGCAAAAAAAAGAAGAAAACTTTTATCCTTGCTTTTGTCGCCAAAATCAGCTGTTTATCGATCCTTCCCTTTTCGGGCGCCGGTATTGTGCAGTTTTGCGCCGATTTTTTCTGCATTTTTTGGCAAAGTTGTGTGTATCGTAAGTTACTCAGGAGCAACTTATGTTAGATGCAGTCACCTCTTGTCTGCGTCTCCTCTTTTTACACACTATTTGGATCACTCTAACATCCGTTCACGTTGAGGTGACTTGAACGTGAACTGATGTGGAAGAGTTGACTGCGGCAGGTGGACAGATGGTCAACTATCAGTTGACTTGACCATCTTATAGCATGGGAACGTAGACGGTGATCAGTTCACCTCACCTAAGGTGAACTGATGGGATAAGTTGAATTCACTTCAACTGATCGAGCTTTACTACGGGCCTATATTATCGACTATTGCCGTGATATCAAAGACAATGCTTGACTCAACGAGTTATGCCATTGGCGAGCCGCTTTTGTTAGTTACGTGCCAGGTAAACAATCTTTGATTCATATCCTTTTTTAGTAATTCACCATTCAATTCAAAACCTTCGAAATTTCGTCTGTCTAAGAGAATTTTTTAAGGATTCCTCCATTGCATTTTTCCTAAAATAGAGAATTAAAATGAGCTTGTAATAAAGAATAGCTATTTTTGCACTGCAGTCTGAAATTCTATTCACAGGACTTTTTAGTGCAAATGAAGAAAAAATGGGTTTATTATAAGGTTACAAAAAGTAATTGCTTACGGGGTCTGCCTCTATACATCGTGCTATCACGGCAGCAGAGAAATTGAAGTTTTCAGAAGAAGGTACGGCAAGTTTAAGGATTACAATGTGAATTCAACTTTTTTATCTTTCTTCCTGAAACAGGAGTGACAAATCAAACATTTTATTATGAGATCACAAACTAAGCTTTAAAGGCAGCGACTCGGCAGAATGACAACTTTGGGATATTCATCGTTCTGGGTTCCCCTGGATGAGCTAAGTTCTAGACTGTGCTTTACAGCTGCAAAAGATGTCAATTACCCGCTTTCCCAGACTCGTGAGCGGAGAATCTGTACCTACCGTATCCATGAGCCTATCGCGCTTTAGAGGGCAGATACGCGATCCGCCCAAAAATAGCGCTTTTCGCATCTGGAAAAGCGGATTATCGATATCTTTAAAGCTGCAAAGCACAGTCTTGGACTAAGTTCATCCAGGGGAACCGAGAATGATGATTTCAAAGTTGTCATTCTACCGAGCCGCTGCCCTCTAGTGGAGATGCATAACTTTTTCAAAAAAGAGAGGCATATCTTCAGCAATCAGAAACCTTTAACAGAATATAAAGTAAGCATGAGTAAATTTGCTTAAAATATTTTGATTCTCGATTTGTGGAACATCTGAGGCGCAACATGCATCCACTAATCTATAATATTACTTTGCAGGCTTTAGTTGCACAAACTTCTTTTGTCTTCACAAATGCCAATTTTATCTCGATTTTTCTCGCCCTACATTTCACAGGACTGTAAAGATTGGCGATTTGCAGTTCCACAGAGCAATAACAAAGCGAAATTGTCCAGTGTAAGCTGCACTCATCTGTTTAGTCTAAAGCTGTTATGAAGGCTTCAAAAATGGAATCCTATTCTCAATGCTTTGGATCATTTCCAAAATCCATTGATATTCGCGACGAGTCTAAGTCTGTATTTGGTTACTATTTCTCGTCTATACATCAAAAACTATTTTTACACTTACACAAGTTTTGCTCCAAACATTTGCTCTGATACCTGACGCGACCTTCATCTGGAAATACGAGGATCCAGACTCTGATATAGCCTCATCAATTCCCAACGTCTT